CGCCGCCGGTGACCGACCCCCATGGGCTGCGTCCACGGCCGCCCCTCCGCCGTTCCTACTCCCGACCGCCCGCCTCCCGAGCCGAAGCCCGAGCAGGCGCCGCCGCAAGAGGGCGACAAGTTCCCGGCCACGGCCGAGAAGCCCGCCAGGAAGGAGAGGCGGTCCCGGTCGTCGCGCTCGGTGGCCGAGGCCCGTCTCGGCGGCAGCTTTGCCAACAGGGCACGCGGGGAGCAGGTCGCCGCCGGCTGGCCCGCCTGGCTCTCCGCCGTCGCGGGCGAGGCCATCGACGGCTGGACCCCGCGTCGCGCCGACTCTTTCGAGAAGATCGACAAGGTACGCGCGCCCCTTCCCCAGGCCCGGTTCCTTTTGCATTTAGCAGCCGCCATTGGGTCTGAAGAAAGCTTGCGCCTTTTGTGGGCAGATCGGCCAGGGCACGTACAGCAATGTGTACAAGGCGCGGGATACCGTGAGCGGCAAGATCGTGGCGCTCAAGAAGGTGCGCTTCGACAACCTCGAGCCCGAGAGCGTTCGCTTCATGGCCCGCGAGATCCTCATCCTCCGCCGCCTCGACCACCCCAGCGTCATCAAGATCGATGGCCTCGTCACCTCTCGCATGTCCTGCAGCCTCTACCTCGTCTTCGAGTACATGGAGCACGACCTCGCCGGGCTGGTCGCCAGCCCGGATATTAAATTCACCGAGCCACAGGTCTCCGAGATCCCAGTGCTGCTGCCTCTGGTGCCCCTGTGACACCGTGCAATGAAATGTGAGCCTAATCGAGGTGTCTGGCTTTGCTGACCTGCAGGTTAAGTGCTATATGAACCAGCTGTTGTCGGGGCTGGAGCACTGCCATGACCGCGGGGTGTTGCACCGTGATATTAAGGGGTCGAATCTGCTTTTGGATAACAATGGCATGTTGAAGATTGCAGATTTTGGTCTGGCGTCATTCTTTGATCCAAGCCGTAAGCAACCAATGACAAGCAGGGTTGTGACACTATGGTACCGCCCACCAGAGTTACTTTTGGGCGCGACCGATTATGGGGTGGGCGTGGACCTATGGAGCGCGGGATGTATACTCGCGGAGTTGTTGGCTGGGAGGCCTATTATGCCAGGCCGAACCGAGGTTAGCAATAATATACCCAACTCCTTGAAATGCCTCTTTATCTTGTTTGTGGCATATAATTCCTATGTAATCAAGTCATGTCACTACATCACCGTAGACGTTGGTGAAATCTGAACACCTGATGTGGCCAGAGACACATTGATCCGCCTTGAAATCTTCTTTCTTGCTGCATGTTTTGTGTGTTTAAGCATTCATGTGTCAGCTTAGTTTAGCATGATCTCACACTATTTATACACTAAGCTGTTCCGACTTCAGACCGACCAATCCAGTGAACAGGTACTGCTTTTATCTTCCCATGTATCATTTTGTTGACCATGCCTGCCCCTTTCAGGTGGAACAGCTGCACAAAATTTTTAAGCTGTGTGGCTCCCCCACAGAAGAATATTGGAAAAAGTCGAAGTTGCCTCATGCAACGATATTTAAGCCTCAGCAGCCATACAAAAGACGAATAACGGATACATTCAAAGATTTTCCACAATCCGCACTGCGGTTGATTGAAACACTGCTTGCAATTGATCCGGCTGATCGTTTGACAGCGTCCTCTGCATTAAGAAGTGATGTAAGCTAGCTATGAGCTCTTACTATCCTGTCCTAGCAACTTAAAATTCTATATTTATTTTGAAGCCATTGTCTTTTTATAAACGCAATATTTATTGATTTAGGCAACCTGAATGCCATACAGAATTATGTATGCATGTTAACAATAGCTAAATGTTCCTGTTGTAAACTACTCCCTCTGTCCCATAATATAAGAGTGTTTTCTCTTATATTACGGAACGGAGGAAGTAGTTGAAAACATAATATTTCCGCTAGAGTATATTTTTTTAGTCGGTAGCTGTTGGTGTAGATTTAGGTTTGAGATGACAACCGGACAAGCATATTGCACTTGTAGCCCATGTGAATATTTGGCATTCTATTCATACTGAAATAACCAGTTTATTCTGGAACCTGATAAGCCATCACATGGTTAGTAGCATGATAGTCTCATTTGGACCATGGGTCTTATCACAACCGAACACATTGACCCTTTGTTTTGTGCGTCCATAGTCCATACTGTCTAAAATCCCAGATTGCAGTCTCAAAGCTTCACTGTTGGTGCCACATTGATGTGTGGCTGTAAATTAGTCAATTTTTGAAAGAGCACTGAAAAACCTTCCTGTCCCACCAGATATGACCACCGCTGTAATCTAGCTTGGTGCAGCCATTCTGGAGATTCTACTTGTATATCTGTGGATGATCAAAGTTTCAATTTTGCCTTCAGTTTCGTATTTTTGATTTTCGAATAACATATAAAATTGGATAATGTGTTAACCATTTGTGTTGATTATATAGGACTATTTTACTAAAAAATTCTTAATTGCTATTCACACAGTTCTTTACCACTGAACCTTATGCATGCGAACCATCGAGTCTCCCAAAATATCCCCCAAGCAAAGAAATGGATGCAAAGCGAAGAGATGAAGAAGCCAGACGGTTTGTCACCTTGGAACTCATTCTGTTAGCTATGTTTGTTTTTGTGTTATGCTTTGTCCCTTGGCATCTCTTTGCCGGTGTTGTTCATATGCCATATTTTTTGGCCTTTCAACATATTTTTGCATATATAAAATTCTTAGTTCATGATGCTAGTACAGGATCATTTGCTTGATAAAATAGAATATTTTCTCTGCTGGCAAACTCCGTTTATTACTATATTAGTGCTTAGTGAACTGTTGAAGGAACAAACTTCGATTCATAGGTACTCCCTCCGTCCCAAAATTCTTGTCTTACATTTGTCTAAATACGGATGTATCAAGTCACGTTTTAGTATTAGGTACACCCGTATTTAGATAAATCCAAGACAAGAATTTTGGGACGGAGGGAGTATTATGTATTGCATCTACATCTGAATAGTTCAATAGTCTCTTGGCTCTTGGGCGTATTGGAAGATAGTATTCTGGTTACTATTATAGCATAGTATGTGGGTCCCTCATTCTCCCGGTAGCCTTGTTGGCCTGGTCTATGGGCTGGCCCTGGTTGCAAAATAAAATGTAGGAGTAATGTCAAAAAATGTCTTACATTTTGAGACAGAGGGAGTAGTTCTTACCCGGTAGATTGTTGCACTATAATTACTAATAAAGGTTAAAAATTTAAGAGCATACTCCTATTTGTTCTTAAAGTAGTACGTATTATTTGTTATGCCAAGATTCCAGGATTTATGTGGACATGCTATGTAGACTTCATTGTTGGGTCAAAAGCCAATTAATCTCGCCTTCCCAATCAATTCTATGAAGTCTCGAGTCATCAAATCCCCCCTTTATGCAAATAACCAAATTTCCTTGAAGCTACGTTCCCTGTTCATGGTCTCATATGAGTTGAGCGCTTGAATGCTGCCTTACTTATTCATGGCATGATCAACAGTTCAAGAGCTGCTGGTGGTAGACCTAATGGTGATGGAGCTAGCAAGGCAAGGACACGTGACCGGCCCAGGGGAGCTCCAGCTCCAGAGGCAAATGCCGAGCTTCAAGTAAATATTGATGTATGTTCAATGAACTTGCTTCCTCACTAACTCTCAGTTATTTTATATTTGTTTCTACGAGCTAGTTTTCTTTGGAACTTAGGGATACAGATGCTCCATTACGAAAAGTAGCTTGAGGCATCTATATTGATTTTTTCTCCCCAATGCAAACTACTATTAGTGGGCATCATCAAATAATAAAAAATAGACTCCCACTACACATGCATCCCTACTCTTCACTTCAACTTTTCACATTTATGCACCGGACCACATTTTTTCTTCCCAAACACCCGCCTCCTGCCGAGGGTCCCGCTACACCATCCGAACCTACTTTTCCTGATATCCGATCCTACATGGCCTGCGGAGCATCACCCTAAGGCTATACATTGGCCATGCCCTTAGTTGTCTAAGTTTAAGTTGAGTTGCCTACTGAGCTGAGGTGGTGGCATCACTCGTTTGGTCCCAGTTCTTCACGATGAGCTGTAGTTTTCACGATGAACCTCTACTGGGAATGACCGAAAAAGGTACCGTGCTCTCGTAATGCTGCTAACTCGTGTCTATTTTACTTTCTTACAGAAAAGGAGGATAGTAAGTCATGCAAATGCGAAAAGCAAGAGTGAAAAGTTTCCTCCCCCGCATCAGGATGGTGCAGTTGGTTTCCCTTTGGGTTCTTCAAATCAAATGGACCCACTGTATGAACCCCCAGACCCAACTTCCTTCAGCACTGTGTTTTCTCATGAGAAAAGCTCCGTGCCTACTTGGTCTGGACCATTGGTCAATTCTTCCGCAGTTGGGAACCAAAAGCGGAAACACAAGTCCAGCCGCTCATCAAAACAACCGTCCACTGCCCGTGCTCGGTAAGTTGCCGAGAAGTGGTACTTTTAGAGAAAACTGAGTGTCCACTCCGCGCTGTTGCCTGCACAATGTTTGGCAAACAAGGTGTGTGATGATAAATTAATTTGTCGCTTCATGAATTATTTTGGTGCACTTTTTTCTCGTGGAATTTCATTGTATAGACTGGGGAAGGAACTCAAGTAGTTACTTGTGTACATTAGGTTCTCCTTTTTCTGTTCTTATAAGCAGGTGCATTTGATGTTGGATTCATTTGGTTGGAAGCTTAGATCTCTAGCATTTCAGGACACCCCCTTCCATTGTAACACTTTTTTTTTACAGTTGAACCTATATGATCATTTCTCATCAATTCCAGTTGTAATTTTGAACTTGTGGTACTTGGAATGTTCCAGTTTAATCTAGCCAGGAAGCTAGGACATCCGATACCAAAGTCTTCTCAATTTATTTGGCCCGTGACAAAGTGCCAATCTGAACTATGCCAGCAAGTTCTCGTGTTCTGAGTCCAGAATGTTGTTTTTATCACATATGCTGATGCAATTCCAGTCATAAAATGGATGAATATAAACAAAATATCTGTTCGTTTTTTTTCGAAACGGAGGCAAAAGATTTGCCTCATTCATTAAATAAGAGAGAAGTGTTTTAAAGTGTTACAAATGACCCATATGCCCGGCATGGCAACTACTCGCGCACAAGAATACACCCCAGTTTTTTAGCTCCCGCGAGCACCCAAAGCTTGACGTCGTTGATGATAGCACGGAGAAGGACCGGAGGCGGTGCGCTCTTGTGTCGGAAGACCCGAGCATTACGCTCGTTCCAGATCGTCCAAGAGACTAGCATTATAAGTGAGGCCAAGGCTCATCGGTTTGGGTTTTGCAAGCAGGTTCGCTTTTCCCACCATTCCAAAACGGATCCATCCAAATGCCAAGAGGAGGTGTCCATGTGCGCTAGACCAAATTCAAGGATGATCGAGTTCCATAGCCTTATGGTGTAGCGGCATTTGTAGAAGAGGTGTGCACCCGTCTCGCCAACACGTTTGCAAAGCGGGCAAAGTTCACAGTTTTGCCAACCGCGTCGCTCCAATCTGTCGGCTGTCCAAATCCGGTCTTGGATAGCCAACCAAGCAAAAAACTTGATCTTAGGAGGGGCCCAAGCCTTCCAGATCATAAAGTCCATGGGCGAAAGTGTCAGTCCAAGAAACTGAGCCATGTAGGCGGTGGCCGCGGAGTAGGACCCGTCGTTGGCGTGTTTCCAAATAATGTCATCGTCAGTTTGTTGATCCAAGTGTAGGTCATGCACAAGCATCCATAACGTGAAGATTTGGAGGATGTGGGCACCGGAGACGATGGTGTTGCGACCGATCTTAAGAATCCAAGCATCTCCATGGAGGGCCTCACACACCTTCCAGTTCTTACGCGTGGAGGCCTCATAAATCAAAGGGGCAATGTCCTTCGGTTTCCGCCCAAGAAGCCATGGGGAATCCCAAAAAGGTGTATTAGCACAGTTGCCCAAAATGATGGTCGTTGAGGCATAGAAGAAGTCCATGTCCTCTTCCGTGCAAGGGTTCCCAAGCCCCACCCAAACCTTCTTTGGCTCCTTCCATTCATACCATGGCCACCTAAGACGTAAGGCTCGAGCAAACTTGTCAGTGTCTAGAACCCCAAGGCCTCCATACTCCTTGGGGCGGCAAACCACCTTCCAATTCACTTTACATTTGGCACCGGTCGTCTTATCCGATCCAGACCAAAGGAAAGCTCTCTCCAATTTGTTGATGTTGTGAAGAGAGCGTGGTGGCACGATGAGAGGTGTGATGGCATACACTGCTTGGGAGGCAATAACCAATCTGACAAGTGTCGTGCGCCCGATGGTGGTGATGTTTTGGCCGTCCCAGGTGGCAAGCTTGCCGGCCGCCTTGTCTTCAAGGTATTGGAAATCCACAGTCTTGAGCTGCCAGACCGAGAGTGGGAGTCCCAGGTATTTCATCGGGAAGGTGGCTCTAGACACGAGAACAACACTGAGGACATGATCCAAGTCAACATTGGCACATCTGATTGGCACAACCGAACTCTTGTGGAAGTTGGTGCATAGACCCGTGACATCACCGAAACCCTTCAAGATGGTGGCGAGGTTGTCGACGTCGCTTTTGATTGGGGCCATGAAAATAGCTGCGTCATCCGCATATAAGGAGGTTCTCATCATAGCGCCTCATCCCCGAATCTTATGCAGGAGGCCCTTCCTAGTTGCCAACTCAAGAATTTGGTGAAGCGGGTCAATTGCGAGGACGAATAGCAGTGGCGAGATCGGGTCCCCTTGACGAAATTCACGACCATGATAGATGGGAGGTCCGGGCAGCCCATTGAGCAGGAAACGCGAGGATGAGGAGCAAAGCAGTGCGGCAATCCAGTCATGGAATTTGCTAGGGAAACCCCTACGTTGCAGGAGGTCCAGGATGAATTCCCATTTGACAGAGTCGAAGGCTTTTCTTATGTCAAGCTTGAACAGAAGGGCAGGGGTCTTGCGCTTGTGGTGGCGTCGAGCAAAGTTCCGCACATACATGAAGTTGTCATGGATGCTTCTCTTTTTTATGAAGGCGCTTTGGGCGTTGGAGATGAGGGCATCCATATGCGGGGCAAGCCGCAAGGAGAGCACCTTAGCAATGATTTTGGCAATGGCATGGATGAGGCTTATGGGCCTATAACCGGAGATGCCCTCCGCGCCATCCTTCTTGGGCAAGAGCACCACACTGGCGGAGTTCAACCATTGAAGATTGGACGTGTGAAGGGAGTCAAACCGGTGGATGACTCGCATGATATCAGGTTTGACGATGGCCCAACATTTCTTGAAAAAGATACCCGTGAAGCCGTCCGGGCCGGGAGCCTTGCCGCTTGGCATTTCTTTAATGGCGTTCCAAACCTCGTCCTCAGTGATAGTGTCATCCAGAGTGTGAAGGTCGACCGGCTGCACGTTGAGCTCCTCCCAATTGAAGTCAAGGTTGCTCGTGTGCCCCTTCCCCATGACCTCAGAGAAGTGGTCATGGATGATCTTTTCTTTTTCGCCATGGTCTAACCCAACCGCTTGCGAGCTTGATGCGGTGGATGTGGTTCTTTCTTCTTCGGGCATTGATGCGGCGGTGGAAGAGCTTTGTGTTTGCATCACCCTCCTTGAGGTTAGAGATTAGGGCGCATTGGCTCTTTCTGGCCCTCTGCAGAACTGCCAAACTGATCACCCTGCGTTTTAGTCTAGCACGTAGGTCAAGCTCCTCCGGCGATAGGGGGCGCGATTCCTGCGCAATGTCCAACCTTAGGATCATGAGTAGTGCCGCGTGGAAGTGAATGTTCGCTGCTGAGAAGAGTCTTCTACTCCACTCCTTGAGACGTAGCGCGGTCTTCTTGAGCTTGTGATGCAATATGAGATAAGGCTCCGTGTGTGACACGCCCTCGGCCCATGCCTTTTGGACGATGTCATGGAATCCTGGAAGGGAGGTCCAGAAATTTTCAAACTCGAAGGACCGAGGTCTTTTGGGTCCTTTGTCGTCAGCAAGCAAGAGAGGGCAGTGGTCGGAGAGGGATGACGACAAGGCGTGCAACACATGGGTGTTGAAGGTGGTGTCCCACTCGGCGTTGCAGAAGAAGGAGTCAAGTTTGCAAATGGTGGGATTTGTCCTCTCATTGCTCCAGGTGAAACGCATGTTCTGTAGATGGATCTCCTTGAGTTTGCAAGATTGCAAAGCGGCACGAAAGCGATTGATTCTACTACAGTTAACATTCCGTTTGTTTTTATCCCTGGCACGGTAGATTTGGTTGAAGTCTCCAGTGGCAAGCCATGCCACTCCCGGAGGTGGCTTCTGGCTAAGCAGCTCCGCAAAGAATGCATGTTTGGAGGCGCTGTCGGTGGGGCCATAGACGGACGTGATTTTGAAGGAGGAGTCGGAAGCGCGAATCCGCACCATAGCAGAGAGACAAAAAGTCGAGGTGGTGATGTCGGAGACATGAAGGAGGCTATCATCCCATCGCATAAGGATTCCACCCCTGGTTCCGGTGGCCGGGCGGTGCGCGAAACTCTGAAGCTTGTTTCCACCGAGAGAAGCAACAATGTATCTATCAACGGTGCTCAACTTAGTCTCCTGGAGACAAACCAAATGACAAGTGGTGTCAGAGATGGTAGCCCTCTCACATTCCAGCTGAGTGTATTGATAGGCTGTTCTATCATGGGTGCACAGCAGATGCCCTTTGACTAACATATGGAATGACAATAATACAACCAGGAGGGGATCCAAGTCCCAGGTACATGGCCCATGGCCGAACCTGACTAAACATCCACACACACACAATGGGAACACGGTCCCATCTACAAGACCCAAAGTAACTAATGCCTATGCACGAACTGGATACGTGCAAACTAGTAGCAAGTGCAATCCCCTGGAAAGCATCAGGATGGCGTACTAACATAACAAACATGAAGGCCCTAACCCAGAGACTACCTACTCAGGCGATCGCCGGCTGCGATCCCTGGCCATCTTGTTCCAGCCCCACAGAGTCCATAGCCGCTGCACCACCGTGGTCTATCAGCGCGTCCTCGACAACAGCAATAGCACTATCGTCAAGCTTGAAAAAATCCCTCATGGCCACAATCACTTCAGGGGGGAGCTGCTCCTTGAATCTCTCCGTGAACACATTCAGGGTCGAAGCGGTGACATCTTCACCATCTTTGGTTATGCCCAGGCTGCGAAAAACAAGGCGCTCAGCCACCTTTGCAGCTGGGGCAGCCGGCGTGCGGTTGGAAGGACGCCTGATCCATTGCAGAGAGATCCTGCCTTCCTTGGAGATCCATATGCCTGCCAAAGTCTTCCGACGGGCTGCTAAAGGGCTTGGCCTCGGTGATGCCATGGGTGCTTCAGAAGGTTGCACAGATGTGAGCGGCAGGAGCGCCGGCTGTTTTGAGCAGAAGAGCGTTCCTGGGAGCTCGAGACAGGGCACAACGAGCTCCGCCAAGCCAGCGGGTAGGTCGTGTCCAGCATCAACAAGGCGAGCACGGGTTGTCGAAGGGGTTCACTGCAAGTTGCCGTTGCACTGGAGAGGCGGGGTGGGCGAGACTTCAAAGCCTGGGGGCCGCATCGGGGACATGTCCAGAAGAGGTCGCTGCATCATGGTCGACAAACAAAGCTCGATGAGCGCCGGACTCAGATTTTG